TCTGCACCTAAAACACAAAAATCAAAAAAGAAAATTAGAAGAAACAAAAGGACCTATATACAGACTTACCAGTGGATTGCTGTTTAAAGTCATTAGCTTCACTTGATGGTGATTCAGGTATGAGGTGTACCATCCATAGGAACTATGTGTCCGTCTGGAATCGTAGCTTTAGCTCAGTAGTGTTTCACTCTTTGTCTATTCACTGTGAACTCCCTGCTGCCATCTGGTGTGAGGAGGACGATGGCACCATAGGGTGGAACCTCCTTGACTATGAAAGGACCTGACCAACGAGAACTCAATTTACCAGGAAACAATTGCAAACGAGTGTTATACAGAAGTACCTGGTCATTCGGTTCAAATTGCCTGGAGAGGATTTTTGAATCGTGATACGCTTGGTCCTCTCTTTGTACAGCTTCGAGTTCTTATAGGCATGGTGTCTGATTTCGTCCACTTCATTCAGTTGTATTAGTTTCCTCTCTGCAGCATACTTAATGTCGAAGTTCATCATAATTATCGCCCAAGCTGCCTTGTGTTCGATCTCCACTGGAAGGTGACAGGGCTTTCCATAGAGCAGGTGGAACGGCGTGGTACCTAGAGGCGTTTTTAACGCTGTCCTGTAAGTCCAGAGTGCATCGTCCAACTTCACATCCCAGTCCTTCCGAGTTTTACCCACTGTCTTCTCCAAGATCTCTTTGATTTGTCGGTTTGAGACTTCGACCTGTCCACTCGTCTGAGGGTGATAAGAGGTGGCAACTCGATGATGAACTCCATGTTTCCTTAGGAGTTTTTCGAAAACCTTGTTAATAAAGTGAGAACCACCATCACTTATAACAATTTGAGGCACTCCAAATCGAGGGAAGATAATGGTCTTGAACATCTTGAGAACCACTGAAGAATCATTGTTGGGGCTGGCAATGGCTTCGACCCACTTAGAAACATAATCAACAACAACCAAGATGTACTTATTCCCATAAGATGAGGGAAAGGGACCCATGAAATCGATACCCCAGCAATTGAACACTTCAACCTCAAGGATGAAATTCTGTGGCATCTCATGTCGCTTGCTGATCTTCCCTCTCCTCTGACAAGCATCACACTGCAAGATAAAGGCATGCGCGTTGCGAAACATTGTAGGCCACCAAAAGTCTCTGCTTGAAGAACCTTAGACACTGTTTTAAACGTCGCGAAGTGTCCAGTATATTCAGACCCATGAAAATGAAACAGCACCTCTGGAACTTCTGACTCTGTAATGCATCTTCTGTAAATCCCATCAGAACAGTGTTTGTACAGATATGGTTTGTCCCATGGATATCTCCTTAGCTCTCTCAGGAACTTCTACTTCGCATAGCCCTTAAAGTTCTCAGGCTCGGCCTCTGCTGCGAGGTAGTTGGCAATATCAGCATACCATGGACGGTTGGTAGCAGATACAGCAGCTGAACACATCGCAAGAAGTCTGCTTCAAATTTGAGAAGTCTTTGTCTTCTGCTGCGCAAGGTGTCGCGCGACACTAGTGTGTGGTGTTGCTCGACACCGACGTTTCTCTAACTTGAAAAGCCTGCAATTGTTCGTCAAATCTGCTCTGAAACCCTGTTTCCACATAGTAAACATTCTCTTCTGGCAGACAATCATCTATTGGTACGTCCTCTTCAACCCTGATGCGTGAGAGATGGTCTGCAACTCCATTCTCTACTCCCTTCTTGTCCTTAACCTCAATGTGGAATTCCTGGAGAAGTAGAACCCATCGTAGTAACCTTGGCTTTGCATCCTTCTTCTGCATCAAGTAATTGAGTGTAGAGTGGTCTGTATGCACAATCACTTTCGATCCCACAAGGTAGGGACTCAATTTTTCGAATGCAAAGACCACAGCCAACAACTTTTTCTCTGTGGTTGCCTAGTTCCTCTGAGCATCATCCAGGGTTCGACTAGCATAGTAAATTGCATGAAGTTTCTTGTCCTTTTTTTATCCCAGAACAGCTCCTACTGCGAAATCACTGGCATCACACATCACCTTAAAAGGAAAATTCCAGTCAGGGGGCTTCATAATAGGCGCGCTTATCAACACCTGTATGATCTGTTCGAAAGCAGTAAGACATTCATATGTGAACTCAAATTTAACGTCCTTGCACAGCAGAGCAGTAAGTGGTCTTGAAATCTTGCTGAAATCCTTGATAAATCTTCGATAAAACCCAGCATGTCCCAAGAAACTCTTTACTGATTTCGCAGAGTCTGGTGGTTGCAAGTTTGTCATCACGTCGATCTTCGCACGATATACCTCAATTCCAGTTTCTGAAACTCTGTGCCCAAGAACAATCCCATCTCTGACCATAAAGTGGCATTTTTCCCAATTAAGGATCAAGTGCTTCTCTTCACATCGAGCTAACACCTTGTAGAGATTGCCTAGACAGTCTTTAAAAGATGATCCGTAAACTGAGAAATCATCCATAAAGACCTCCATAAAATCCTCAATCATATCAGTGAAGATGGACATCATATAGCGCTGGAAAGTCGCAGGAGCATTACAAAGTCCAAAGGGCATTCTGCGATATGCGAAAGTGCCGTATGGACATGTAAATGTGGTCTTCTCCTGATCATCTGGGTGGATGGGGATCTGGAAAAACCCTGAATACCCATCAAGGAACCAAAAATACGGATGGTTTGCCAATCTCTCCAGCATCTGATCGATGAAAGGCAAAGGGAAGTTATCTTTCCTGTTTGCTGCGTTTAGCTTCCGGTAATCGATACACATCCTGTGGGTAGTCACTGTTTGCGTCAGAATCAGCTCAATCCTCTCATTCATCACAACTGTGACTCCTCCTTTTTGCAGCAGTTTCATGATCTCCTTCTTCACCTCTTCCTGCAGATTCGGATTCAGCCTCCTCTGGTGCTCAATCGACGACTTCGTCTCATCTTCCAGGTGAATCCGATGCATGCATAGGTCCGGAGAGATACCTGAAATATCATCAAGAGAATAGCCAAGAGCTTTGCGAAACCTGCGCAACTTGCTTAGCAGTAAAGTGAGCTCTGCATTGTTTAAGGAAGCATTGACAATAACAGGATAAGTGGAATTAGGTCTCAGGAATGCATACCTTAACCCTGCAGGAAGCTGTTTGAGTTCGAGCTTTGGAGCTTTTTCTTCACTCCAATCGCTGAGCTTTTTTGGCTTTTGTAGGAATTTCGATCGGTTCCTTTTGAGCCACTAACTGCATCACTTGCTCGCTAGCATCCAGCATCTTAACATATGATGCTGTAATTTTGTCCAGATGCTCTGCTTCAGATGCGGACGAGATCAGGGCTCTCTCCAATAGATCTGCAGGATGCATCTCCTGGAACATCTCCTCCGCGAACCCTGTGAGTGTGTCGACGTAGAAGGTTTTACCATCGATGGTGGGTTTCTTCATCAGCTTGTCCATGTCGAAGTTCATGACTAAATCTCAAACATTCAAAGCAATTCTGCCCTTCCTCACATCAATGATAGCATCTGCAGTCGCTAAAAAGGTCTCCCAAGGATAAGAAGATCCTTAGGTTCCTCTCCATACTCCAAGACAACGAAATCGGTTGGTATCATGCAATCACCAACCTTGATTGGAACATCTTCCAGCACTCCTTTAGGTGTCCTCGTCGATCGATCAGCTAGGATAAGAGAGATCCTCATTGGCTTGAAGTCAGTCATGCTGAGATTGACAGCGACTGAATACGGCATGAGATTGACGCTTGAACCCAGATCACACAGTGATCTCTTGAATCTCTCTGTGAAGATGGAGCAATCCAAGACAAAGCTTCCTGGATCAGAGAATTTCTCTGGAATCCTGTTCTGAATTACAGCACTGACTTGCTCAAAAATCATCATCACTCCCTTTTCATGGCTGAGATTGTTGGTCACCATTCGCTTCACATAACGCCTGATAACAGGAGTGATTTTCACAGCATCAACCAAAGGTGTCTCAATCACAAGCGTTTCCCTCAAATCCTTGCACCTTGCATCATCTAGCTCTTGCTTGGACTTCCTAGGGCTCCTGGGATAAGGAACCTTAGGCTTGTAAACCTTTTCCTCAGCAGATTTCAGACTTGGAGCAATATCAGATTCGCTCTGCAATTGGTGACGCGCGACACTGGTTGTGGTGTCGCTCGACACCGGCTCTGCAACTTCAGAAACTTCTTCATGATCTTCCAAATCCACGACCTCAGCAGCAGGAGAGTCTTCTTGGGCTCAGAAATCAAATTTTTACCACTCCTCAACGTGATGGCACTGCAGTGGTGTCTTGGATTGGTGTCAGTCTTCCCAGGAAGAAAACCCTCTTGCCTTTTAACAGAACCTGCAGTTTGGGCAACATGCGTATCGAGCTGCTTGACATGGGTGTTTAAAGCCTCGATTTTCCCATTCAGATCAAGGTACAGAGCATCGATCTTTCCATTGAAATCCACGGTGAGCTTCTGCTGTCCTTCCAGAATCTGTTCCAGCATAGACTTCACCTCATTGTCAGGAGTCTGAGGTTGAGCTGAAGGAGTGCTGTAGTTTCTGGAAAAACTGTTGTTGGAATAAGGCTTCTGGTATTGAGGCTTAGGCGTGTAACCAGAAAAGTTCTGATTAATGTTGAAGGTGCTCCTCTAATTATTTCCACTGAAGCTTCTGTTACCTTGCTGATTACCAAACCTGTGACCATGAAACCGTGATCCATTGACAAAGTTGACATCTTCTTCCTCAGCTTCATCCTCTGGTTCAAAACTCTCCACTTCCTGTGCGAATCTGACAGACTTCTTACCCTCTAGAAGGCTATGTACAGAGTCAAGATTAGCCTTCACCTCAGCAATCTGCGATCCATCCATGTTCCCAGCTTGCTTCTTTCGCTCATAATCAGCATTCTTGGTACTGCTGCTAGATGAGCACAACAGCTTCCTCTGGGTATCTGGTGTTGAAGTTTCTATTTCTCGCTGCATCAAGAGCCATATGATACCTCCAATCAACACCTCTGAAGAAAATACCCAACATCTGCACATCGATGAAGCCATGATGGGGGCAGTCTCGCTGGTACGATTTGAATCTCACCCAAGTAGCTTTGAACCCCTCAGTTGGTCCTTGAAAGAATGTCGAGATTTTCATTCTCAGTTCCTCAGACCTGGCATCATCGTAAAAGTTGTGCATGAAGGCGTTCCTTGTCTCTTTCCAAGTAGTCAACGAACCAGGCTCCAACTGCTTCAACCAATTAGCTGCTTCTCCAGCAAGAGAATAAGGAAACAGCTTGCAGAAAAATAAATCATTGGACACTCCATTGTATTTGATGCTGGTGACCAAGTCCTCAAACCTCTCGATGTGTTCCATAGGGTGCTCATGAGAGTGACCATGAAAGGGATGCTGACCCACAAGAGTGTAGTACACACGTTTGAGCTGAAAATCGTTCATTTAAAATGCAGGAGCGCGAATCGCAGACCGATTTGCATAGAACCGCTCCGGCCTGTTGTAATCTCCAAGTGTTCGTCCACGAGCAGCTGCAGGTGCAGGTTCCCTCACCTTTTGTTCTTCTGAAACATTCCTCTGATTTGGAAAGATCACAGCATCACCGCGGTGCAGGTGGTGGATTCTGGTTAACTACATCCGCCGGTGGAATGATGTTACCATCTCCATCAAGTCTTTGGCCTCTCTCATTGCACACATGACCATCTTGGTCTCTCCAGATTCCAGCATCATCACGAACAAGTCCGTTTGTGTTCTCCATTTCTGCCGGTTGGTTTGCTTTTCTGTTCGTTTGCTCTAACTCTGCTAGCTCCTCGTTGCTCAAATTCACTAGCGGGATGTCCTTGTTGCTTCTGGTTTCACGAGTATGCATAAACCTGAAGCACAAAAGACAAAGAGAGAAAACGAAATAAGTAAATTAGGTTATAAAAACGACACTAAGAAAAACTTAGTTGAAGTTCACAAACTAAGGTTTAATGGCGAAATCAAGTCCCCGACAACGGCGCCAAAACTTGATCTACTCAAAGTTTAATCCCTAAGCTACTCTGCAAGAGCACAGATGTGCAGTTGTAGTATTGCAGGGGTCGAACCACAGAGACAAGAATTCACTCAATAAACCTAATAGAATTTAAATTACGCTAAGCAGATTAATGAGAAGCAAACAACAATGTAATAAAAATAAACGATGCAGTAAAAACGTTTATAAGATTCAGATGGATGGACATTAGGCTTAGGGTGTTTCTCAGAAATCAATGAATGCAGATCAATCAATTAGTCAGTGTTCAGGTTTAAGCACGGTTGTTGAACTCGAATCATGGAATTATAATTAACCAACCTTCGTTGTGAGAATTATCTAAGTTAAAATCCTGGAATTCCAAATTCCTTTAAATCCTAAAGATTTAAACCAGCTTTTATGCTCAAGTTCGATATGTTAACAAAGCATCTAAACCAAATTCCTTTGCGAATAGCTATCTTGCTCACCCTAGGTTCTTTCCAGTTATTCAATTACACTTCCGTGTCAATTAAGCAACCTAATATTTAAGTTCTAGGTGATCAGTCCAGAATTAGCTTTAAGAACAACCTGTGGTGAAGAACTAACAGATATGAACCCTAACTTAATCAATTAATCAAACATCTAGAGAAAACCTTAATGAGAACACCAAACCTAAAAAGCTAACTACTCAGACATGGATATTGAAACAACACACATGATTAAATAGATTGCAATAATAAGAAGAATAAAATAAATAAAGGGGTTCAAATCTTCTCTCTAAACGAACAGAGTTCAGACTTATCTCCCCAAGCTCTCAAAATCGCAAAAAGCCTAAAGCACAAAGATGTCTTGCTCGAAAATCTAAGGTAAGGTTCAATAGAGACTCAAAACCCTATTTATATCTCTAAATACGTATTGGGCTTCTTTGTAAACTTCTGGGCTCAACTCCTTCTTCAAACAGGAAACAAAATCGCGTTTTCCTTATTTTTTTGGCAAGCGTCGAGCGTCACTCTCCAGGGTGTCGAGCGTCACTCTCCAGGGTGTCGAGCGTCACCAATGCACATGATTTGTCCTTCGTGAATTTGATCCTGGTTTATCTCCAAAGTTCTCCAAAATCACCAATTAAGCTCCAAACGTATCTAAGACCTGTAAAGATCCCAAAAGACTTGAAAAACACTAAAAAGACTTTATAAATAAGACATATAACATGGTCAAAAACCATAAAAACCATGATATATCAACTACTCGGTTAACTGATACATAGAACACAAGTACTCTACGTTTATATCCTCTTCTTTGTCTGGCCGCTTCATGTAAGCCTCTAGTGAGGCTAAGGCATGGACACAAGGATACTTGTCTATACCAAAACACTTGCACAAGCAAGTTTTACTTTCCACGTTCACCGTGTAATTCATCCCATCGCCTCCAATGACACTGTATTCAATCTGAATAAGGTTTAATTCGGCGACAACTAGCCTCTTCGCTTCAGCACATTTACTGTACAAAATTCTCCACAAAGGCCACCAGTTTACATCCTGGTGGCGTAGTATCACCTTTGCAATATTCTCCACAAAGGCCACCAGTTTACGTGCTTGTTAAACCACTCACACAACTTTGCAATAATCTCATCGATCATAGGTAATAACGATTGCTTCCTTGCATCCTTAAACACACTATTCAAGGACTCCACAACGTAACTAGTCTCTAGGTTGTAGCTCTCTGTTGGAAAATAGCACTTGGCCCATTTTTATACTTTTACATGCTTTTCTAGATACTCGGTCACAGAAAGATACTTTAATGCCATCCTCATATAATGATCAAGAAACTCGGCCTCTGTATACTGTCTTGCACATATGAATGTGTATGCAACTATATCTCACTCCCTTGAAACTTGCATTTTCACATTCTGGCCCAGATGCCAGATGCAATACCAATGTTTAGCTTTCTTGTACACCTCAGCCACTGCCTTGATGAGGCTTGAGGTATAACAGGTATAACCATGTCAGAAACAATACTCAATTCAGGACTATCAGGTATAACAGTTTTCAACTCCCTGAAAAACCACTCCCGACTGTCATTTTTTCTGCATCAATTACTTTAAAGCAATCGGAAAATGGTGACGATTACCATCCTTACAAGCAGAAAAGACTAGCTGACAACCCATCCCGTGTTTCAAAAAAGTTGCACCAACAATTACGGATAAACAAGAGTTTATTGACTCTTAGGGTACCAATCTCTTTATCTGTTGTAGTGATGGTGACTGGTGAGTGAGGGTTGTCAAGTTTTACCCTAAATGAAATCAATAGCCGCAAGTGCACAGCTGATCAATTGTAGTACATAGGGATCGAATCCACAGGGAAGGAGGATCTTTTCCTGCAAAAAGCCTTTGAAATAAGTATAAAGTAAGGAAGTCTAGAACCAAAACGGTTTTGTGGGGGTTTGGTAGTGTGTTTAAAATGTAAAAACGAAATATTAAAAGAGAATATGGGAATTAAATTGCGTAATAACTAAACTTAACGAAAATGACTAAAAATGTAAAAAACGGATATCTAATTGCTTAAATGAAAATCTACTAAAAAGGAAAGACAATATTGAACTAAAGCTTGAAAGAAAATCGGTGTAAATCAATGGGAAAGAAGGCGTTGGGGTTCAGGGAAGTTTTCTTAGGGGTACGAACGATTCAAAACATTGCTAGAGAGTAAATTGATAAGATCTTAGCTTAAACTTTTCGAACTGGAGTCACGGACGTATGAATACGCCACTGTCGTGATGATAGACAACTATCTCTCTCAACCCTGACCAGTAGGTTTCCACTCTGGTCCTGGAAGAGAAGAGATGCATTATGTTTAAGACTCGTCCTAATTCACAAATCGCCCATAGGTAGGTTTCCACTCCTATGTTTGTTTTGCTCTCCCAAACTAGATCTGACACCGGATGAACACTTTCGTGTCACCAAGCATCTGGATCAGATTGTAGTTCATGACGCTACTCTCATGCAGTAAAAACGAATTCAGAAGAAAAAGTTCTAAGATTCGGCTCAAAAGCTCATAGAATCCTCATCGAACATATAAATCTCCATCGAAAATCCCTTAATCCCAACAATAAAACTACTCAGACATGATGAACGAAATCAAAAACATAGTATTAAGAAGTAGAATAGAAACCGAAATTGAAAAAGAAAGAACAAGGGTTCAAGAGAACAAATCTCTCTCTCCCTAAAACCTAAAACTTAAAAGTATTCTAAAACAATAAGAAAGATAGAATATATCGATTAGGGTTCCTAAGACATGTATTTATAGTGCTCAAGACGTCTCTGGACGTCACTTAGGGTTTCTCCAAATGAAGGAATCATTGTGGGCTTCAGAAATGGGCCTCTAGGCTCGGAGGTTGATGGCCGCGGTCGGGAGTGCTCTGACCGTGGGGAATGAGTGGTTTGCCGCGGTCGGGATGCTCCTGACCGCGGGAAATTGCTTGTTGGCCGCGGGTGGAAGTGCTGGCCGGATGGTTTACGGGACATCTTGCTCTTCGCGTATCTTTTGATTGAACCGTTGGATTGCCAAGCTGTAAAGTGCACTGGAAAGCTGATACTTTCATCTTTAAGGTCTCCAAATTTGAGCTGGATCAGACGGTGAGAAGGCCTTCAATCAGGGGTGAACTTCTGACGGTTTGACTCTGAGCTGAAATCTGGTTTTCTATCCATGTTGTTAAGCTTTTCCCTAAGTTTCCTGAAAAGAGTCTTGGAACTACAAATACTAGAAAAACGTAATAAAAGTACTTAAAAGCAATTGAAAACATAGAAAAAGCATTTCAAAACGATCCATAGAAGTGGTCAAAATACGGTGTTATCAACTCCCCCAGACTTAAACCTTTGTTTTTCCTCAAACAAAGCAAAAGCCTAAACTGGTTAAGTGAAAACAAAAATAGGTAATGCACAAATCTCATAGACATGAACTCCTAAACTAGGACCAAAGATAGTGCATCAATCCACAACTTAGTCTAGAAAATTCTCACTAATGCACTAGAGATACTAGTCCACTTTTTCCGTCATGAAAACTTAAACAATCTAAATCTTGATTCTAGTCAACTAGCTCTATACATTCATTAAGTTCAGTAGTGAGTTCTCATTAAAGACATCATCCAGGGTAGACGGCGTTTGGCATTAAAG